TGGCCACGGAGAGCTATCGAACATCCGGCTTTTACACCTAGTGGCAGCGTGCCTTCGGATACAGACCCTCAACTAATTACCCAGTAAGAATTCTTACCTCGAAAACACTCTCGCGTCAGTGTGCGTAATATCGCTAAACCGTGTCGTTGTTAAGTTATAAGAGTTGTCTCGTTCGCGTCTCGTATGTGCGTAATATGGAGTAACAGCAGAAGACTCTTCTTGGTTGATATCGTATGTGTGTAATATGGCGTGGTGTGTTGTATATTGTTTGAAGACAAAAAAGTTGTAATGAAGCGATAGAAGCGTCTGGGTATATATACGTAGACGCGTGTTCGCCTCTTCCTCTTAGATGACATATATTTGTACTACTTGATAACCGTATAAGTATAAATGTTGTTATTTATGCAATAAGGGGTGTGAGAGTCTGCAGCTGTCAAACTCAAAAAAAAAATTGCGTGCATTGTACCGTTTTTATATTCTTTTTTCGTCCAACCATGGTTGTTCGGTATAATATAGTAATGCTACTTATATAATAATTCGTACATAAAAAACTCGTTCTTTACGATAGCGATGATAACACCAATAAGTCTTTACATCTAATAGAAAAGTATTAGGACATAATATCAGTGAAACGTTTCGGAGTAAAAATTATTATCAGTCAGGAGATAATAACACAATATTGCGATTGTCATAATTGGTTTGTCGGAGTAAAAAATTTTCAATTAGGGGTAAGGGGTAATAGTAACAGCTAGTGAGGGATGTGGAAATTTACTGCGGGGTAGTTACGCGTATAATTGTCAACGCCTCAATAGACATTGCAAGCCAATAACGCTGATAATATAAATACTTATACAATAATATTAACAGCACATTCATTATGTATGTTCTCAGTTTTCTCTTTAAAAAAAGGAGGGACTGGTAAGTTTTGTCTTTCCTAAGTCATATTAATATGGAATGAAAGACTATTAACTTTTTGTCTCAACATTGTAAAACCTCATACTGTCAGGGACTTTGACAACACCATCCACCGCAGCGCAAAAACAGATGCATTAGCGTCAGAAAACACCATCATCCTCTGTAATAAGGATAACCATCACCATCAGCGCTGATTAATTGTTGTGCTTTACAATAACAAAAAAAATACACAATTAATGAGGTGCTTCACGAAACTCAAGCCGGACAAGCGGCAAGATTGCATCAAGGTAAGTACTAAAGAGGAAGTGGGAGTGGGAGATACACACATCTGAATTATAATTATAGTAAGATGAGAAATTGATTGTTATTTCAATAGAACTTTTATCAAGGCTCCGGTCGAGGCCATACAAGCGCGTCGGTTGGGGTCAAATAAGTATTCATATCTTAATTAAATTTTCAGCATCAGCAAACTTTTATAACATAATAACAGTGCCAATATGTTTTCATTTCAAATGTTATGCCTTAAGTTACGTATTTTTTTATAAGATTTTAGGTAGATGAAGAACGACGAAACGTACGATAAATAAACTACTAGTAATGTTCGGATTAATTTCAGTGCTTCAGTCCTATTCTCCGATATCGAAACATTGTGGAATGATTTGAGACAATTATACGATAAACGAACCGAATTGGATCCAAATTTTTATTTGACAAAATGCCGTTTTGAAATTTATCAGATGCTCGACAAAGGCCATTACAGTAAGAAATTTTATTTTCGAAGAACAACCCCGCGGAAAAAAGACTATCGAGTCAATCCAACATTGGATCAACAAAGAAAAGGAAAAGTAAACTATTAAGGTGTGGAAAATGAAAATGAAGAGATAGAGGATAGTGATTCCATTATTAATAATAGCAATTACAATATTTAGATTCGTACCAGAATAAATTATACTTATTTCCTCCCAGGAAATCACTCTGGTGCTTTTATTACTATTTATATTTTCAAATGCGTCGCATGCTATAATAAAGATATTGAAAGTAGCGAACTATAATCAACGCTCAACGAATGCGATCGAGCAGTCTTTATCAATAAGAAACGATCGTTGACAGGTCGCTCGATCAGTGGAGAGGCGTTGGTGAGAAGCTTAAATGTTAAATTTATTTCCCTTACGTTTCTTTAAGTTTTTGTTTCTGTCTTGGTTCATCATAAGTTGGTACTAATGTGCGCTTATTGCTTTTATTTTTTCGTTCGTCTTGATATAATTCCATGGTAGATTTGATATTAACGTAAATTAGTTTCATACTGTACATTTTATATTTATATACAAGAGATTGGCAACTACAAGTCATTGCCTTGATAATCAAAAAAGTTATTAGTATTAGTCAAATTAGTTAACGTTCAGTCACATCAGCCTCTCATAAGGTTCGTCGATAGATCTAAGCTTACTTGATTCGATTAAGCACACCAATGAAGCCTCGAACAATTATAATTGGAGTAAAGTACAACTTTCTGATATATTCGGAACCACGATTCTTCAAATTGTCAAGTTTCGTTCGATTCACATGATATTATAGTCCGTGAGTAAACCCAACTTCGGGTCGACCGGTATTTTCCAGTCTGTACTCCTGTATACTGCGAGTAATTTCCTGTCATTATCATATTATTGATCACGTGTACATACCATTTTTAGCACACCCAATTGTTCGGTAAAAGCATCAGTCGATCAACTGAAAGCCAACCAACTCTGCTTCCTTTATCATTCCATCGGTTATACTCGTGTCGATAGATTACGACTAATCAGCTCATCATCTGGCAACAATTCGGATGACTCTTTAGGCAACACCCATCTTATTAGCTTGATTCGCAAAGTTGTGTAGCAATGAACAGAATGTTCATCATTTGATGCATGCTCCAAACTCGAATAAATGTCCGAAACAATTTTTTCCCCTTTGAATAAAAATTATTCAAAATGAGCGAGGTAAAGGTTGAGGTAAATTCCTTGTCACTATTTATCGATTAACGTAAAGAATCCCATGATCGAATCTGTAAAGCCGATACTGTGTTTATTCTAAAAATTTTATTAGAGCACTCTGAACCCAGGACAAGATTATGATCTAATAGTAGTAGGAGCAGGTGTTGTAGGAAGTGCGGCTGCCGCAGCTTTCGGCAAGCAAGGGAGAAAAGTCTTATTGATCGGTATGTTAATGTTATTCCCCATTTCCACAAATGATAGGAATACGTTTGTAAATAAATTCATTTGCTAATTTTAAATGTCAGAGAGAGATTTGAGTGAACCCGATCGTATCGTTGGGGAATTGCTCCAACCGGGGGGTGTTATTGCTCTCGAGAAACTTGGACTGGATCGTAGGTGTCTAAAAGTCTTTCGCATGTATGCGTTAAAATTGCATTCACTATGATTTGGATAAATTAAAAATGTTCATTATTTATTACGCTTCAGACTGCTTGAAAGACATTGACGCAATAGCGTGTCATGGCTATGCTGTCTTTTATCGTGGACAGCCAGTTGACATTCCTTATCCTACTCGTGACGATGGGAATAAGGCTATCGGCAGATCGTTTCATCATGGCAGGTTTATAATGAACTTGCGAAAGGCTGCATCTGAAGTATCCACGTAAGTGTGACAGTGGTTAAAAAGGCCCGATTTGGGAAAAAAACAATGCTAAAATAATGTTTCTTCACGTCTTTTGCAGCGTCACAATATTTGAAGGCACGGCCAGTGAGATACTACTTTGTCCTATAACAAATCGTGCCTTGGGTGTTTCTGTCACGCCAAAGGGACAGAGTGAGATAACCAAAAATGTCTATATTTAATTGAGCTTACAAACTGGTCTGTCTGAACTTGAATTTTGCTCATTGAATACTCTCTTCACTCCACAACCAGTTTTTCGCTCCACTTACAATTGTGGCGGACGGATGTTACTCTAAATTTAGGAAGGAATTTGTTCCCCGGAGCGTACAAGTTAAATCACATTTTGTTGGGTATTTTGGTTTTGCAGTTAATTTATTCTATCGAATATGTTACTCGAATTACATTAACATGTTCCATTAAATCGTTCAAGGTTTATTTTGAGAGACTGTACGCTTCCATTTCCGAATCGTGGCCACGTCATTTTATGTAAAACATCACCAACTCTTATGTATCAGGTATGTAAAATAAATCTGTCTTTTTTTTTCTCAGTATCGTTTGTTCTAACACGCCAACTCATTACAGATTGGAGAACATGAAACTAGGGTATTGGTTGATATCCCTGGTAAATTACCAAGTAATGGGTCTGGTGCTCTCAAGGTCAGAATGGATAATAATAATAATGTTGTTGTTGTTGTTGTTGTTGTTGTTGTTGTTGTTGTTGTTGTTGTTGTTGTTGTTGTTGTTGTTGTTGTTGTT